CCGGCGCGGCGCGGGTGCCCCCTCCGGCGGGGGGTGCGTGAAGGCCGACTGGGCTCGGCCGGGGGCGGTGGAGGAACGCGGCCCGCGGAGAGGAAAGGGCGGGAAGGGAGAGAAAACGGGAGCCTCGCGGGGCAGGGGTGAGACGGCGCCGCCGCGGGCCAGCCCCGAGTCACCGCGCATCACCGGGCAGAGGGAGGGTCCCAGCCACCTAGGGCGAAAGCCGCCCTGAGGGCGGGTGCCCGCAGCCAGGCTGAGTGCTGTGAGTTTGCCTTCTGTGCGTAGGCAAGGATGGCCTCTCCCTGGCTTTTATTGTCCTGTTGCCAGTTTCTTTTTCATTCCCGTTTTATAGATGAGAGCCTGAGACAGAGCAGTCAAGCAACCTTCTTCAAGGGCACACAGCTATTTTGGACGAGGATAGCTGCCTCCAGTACAGGGTCAAGCCATGGTGTGGGGCAGAAAGGAGGTACTGAATCAGCCTGGGATGGGGAATAGAGCAGTTAGCCCGGGGGGTGTGCACTCAGCACATTCCTGCTCACACTAGACACAGGCACCTGCCATACCCTTGTCCACCTTGGTGCCTTTGGCAGTAGGTCAACTGGGCAACTGTTTCCTGGCCAGCCCTTGCTCTTGCCTGTGGCTGCATGAAACTGAGAGAAACAGAGACCAGGGGGGTTTGGTAATAGCCAGTGAGACTGTTTGTCTGCCTTTGGTGTCTATAGATAGTAGCCAGCGGCAGCTCCGGTGCCGATGCCCGCCCGGCAGGCAATTCCCGTGGGCATCCCTCAGACTCGGCACTGAGAGGCTGAGCTGGATAGCAGGGATATTTTGCACATGCACCTCTGAGTAAGTTGCCTCCTGTCCCCGTGACCCATTACCGGCTCGCATGAAGTTGGCCTTTGGACCTATCACCTGCAGCCAAGACACAGCTGGCTCCAGATGTGTGTGTGTGTGTGTGTGTGTGTGTGTGTGTGTGTGTGTGTGAAAGAGAAGGGGGGGGAGAGATCTATGGTAGACTTGATCTTCTCAGACCAGGACTGTGACTGGGAGACCTATGTTCCTTTGCACCTTAGACTTGTGCTAGTCTTGGAATGTGGTCTACTGGGGCTGGGGGGGGGGCAGGTGGGAATGACTGCACCATCACCAAATTTGCAGTCTAGCACAAGTACATCCCTGAACAGGAGTGAAGCCCTCATGCATGGTCTATGTCTTGCTCTAGGGTAGATGCTTCCAAGCCTAATGGGAACTTCGGCTAGATGCCGCTATGTTAATGGGTGGTTGTAGCACATGTGGAAGGCCCTCAGGACTGGCTAGAGGCCAAGTGTATGCATACTGCCTGGCCATACCCCTGACCCTCCTTCTTGGCCAGAGAGCCTCCCACCCGACCCCAGCTTCTTGTGTTCCTCTTAGCTTGTGTGTGGAGCCCGAGGCTGCCTGAACTTCATCTGTAGCTCTGGGACTTTACAGTGCCTAGAGTCTTCCCTTCTAGTCCTCATCTTTCATCACGCCTGGCGCCTGACTGTCCAGTAGGTACAGAGGGCTAGCAATCTTGCTCTCTGTCTGGAGGACCAGGGTATATTCCTTAAAACTCCCTAAGTGGATTAGAAGCAGGAGGACTCCCTCCTCAGCCTCCCCTTCTTCCTCCTGGGACCCAACACCTCTGTCTAGGACCCGGCTTCCTTACTGGGAACATGGCATTTGACACACCTAGGTCCTAGGTGGGGCCCCACCTTTCTTTGCGCTTCTCAGGCCAAAGTAGAGGCAAGAAGGACATGTTTTGTCCAGGCAGGCATTCTCAGGTTGGCAGGAGCCCAGCGTCCCGGGAAGCCACAGCTGCACTTCTGCCAGCGAGACCCGCCTATCAGTCCAGTTTGGCGCCCGGCAGTCGCTGCTCCAGACCCTCCCGTGCTGGGCCCTCTGTGGCGGGTGGAAGCCACAGCACACTGGGGAAGGAGGGAGGATGGTCATAAATAACCCCGGTGGCTGGCGGCAGGCTGGCCAGGAGGCTGTTGGCCCTGGGGCAGATGGTGACCCAAGACTGTCACAAGCCCCTAACCCAGGCTGCAAGCTCACCCCTCCCAAACCAGGGTGTACCAGCCTTGCCCCGTTGATTGAGCCTTTTTGTCCATTCACTGAACCCCAGATGTGGGAGAGACCCCCAGTAGTGGGGCTGTAAGAGAGATGCCCCTCCCTGGAACCACAGGTGCCAAGCAAGGAGGGAGAAGTGGGCGTTGGGACACTGAACTGTGGAGAAGCACACCGGTGTGCACGTGTGCCCCGGCTGAGACCTGTACAAGAGCACACCTGCGCCAGACGAGGAGCTGACCCAGGTCATAAGGTCATGTGCCAAGACAGCCTATCAGGCACAAGTCCTTAGATGGCAGTTCTGTTGACTAGGGAAGGCTAACCTCCAAGGTCAAGGGTTAGTGGCAAACCAGCTGGGGCTCCTCTAGACATTTCTGCAAAGGACCAGAACCTTCTGGAATGTGTCCTGTTAAGCATAGAGGAGCCGCCCTGAGAGGACATACCTAGCCTCTGGAGACAACGAAGGTGTTTCTGAGGTCTGGCTTTCCACCACCCTCAACCTTTGCCACCTAAAAGAAGAGAGCCGTGAGTTCAGTCTCCCTGTTCACGTGGGTGTATGGGCCAGGCTGTCCTTTCAAATGTACACAGGGTAGTTCCTTACTGCCTGTGCATAGACAGTCACTGGTCATGTTCAAGCAGGCTGGTGCACATGTCCTTAGCATACCTGATTCACAGTAGAGGACCCTGCCAGATCCAGGAGCTCCAGTCTGGCAGCGTTGGTTGGGTTCCCCGGTCACCAGTGGGTCTGCATGTCCAGCTCCTCCCCTCAAGCAGGACAAAGACACTTGTTATTGACGACTCCCAGAGATCATGAGGCTGAGATCTGAGGATCGAGGTTCAACACCAGCCCAGGCAGGAAAGTCTGTGAAACTGTGACCTCCAATGAACTAGCTGAGAGTGGAGCTATAGCTCAAGTGGTAGAGAGCTAGCCTTGAGCACAAAAGCTCACACACACACATACACACACGCGCGCGCGCGCGCGCACACACACACACACACACACACTGCACTCATGCGTAGTTTCCTTTGGCCAACAG